CGTTTATAACAGCTACTTGAATCTCCTATTTAAACTAATGCCTAATCCTGGCTTAATATAAGCCCTGAATCTTGAATCCTGTTATTGATCTGAACTAAACAACACTGGCTTGCTTAGTTGGGGTCTGAAAGACACTTCGGTTTCAGTAATATATCAATATGACCACACTGACTGACATCATCGGATGATAACAAAAGTCGAACTGAATTAGGCTGGATGATGGCATTATCGTTTCTGTAGATCTGCTTTACAGATTAATCTCATTTTGCAACATCAACACTGGGATTAAACTGAATTGAATCAACATTAGGCTGCCTCAAACTGAATAACAACATTGCTGCCTTTTGTAGAACTGCTTATTGCTAATTTTAACTTTTCAAATTGAAGAGATTCACACTGTTAAAGTGGTCACACACCAGACGAGAAGCACCGCTCCATCGCACAACGGAGTCATCCTATTCATTATCGCTATGCTACTCCACGGTATTGAACTAAATCTAAAGTGTGTTGTGACCTGGTACCTCCAGTAGATGTCAGCACATGGCAGGGAAACGTATATACTTTTACACTCAGGTTAGAGTATGGCGAAAAATGGGAAAACAAGAGATTAATGGCAAAATGAAAGATTAGAAATGGCTACGTTGATTAGGCCTAAACATTTTTAGCCTATTTTATAGTCACATGGTGACGTAGCTACGCCGCTGAAGTAAAGGCTGGACTTCAAACAAGACATTTCAGAAAGGTGTTCTCTGTTAGAGTTTAACTCCCTTTGGGGTGGACTTTGTACTTTGTAAATGCAGATTGTTTACATTAATGATGGGTCATTAACAAATCGTTCATTTTGTCTGTCATGTGACAAATCAATGAAAGACTCTGGAGGTAAAGTAATAATTTATATTCCTTTCAACTTATCTTTGGGTAGGACGACGTGTTCAGGGAATTTGGCTGATGAAAATATAACGTTTAAAGGTGACCTATAATTCAAAATTGAATTTACCTTGGTATAGTCAAATAACAAGAGTTCATTGCATGGACATGACATAGAGTGAATCTCAAACTGGACTGTTTTCGCGTTCTCATTTAATTCACGTTTATGAAAAACACCCCTGAAAAACGGTCGGTTCTCCACACAATACCGACTGTGACGCAATAGTCGGGATCATTAATATGTACGCCTCCAAATATTTGCATAATGCCAGCCCTCAATGCCAGTCGGAACTGCGCAGCCGAAGCATGGCAGTTGCTCAGTGTGGATGTACACATGAACACAAAAGTATTTTTTAGTTCCTTCATCTGAGCCTCTGAAGAAACAATGGGTTAATTTTATTTTCTCTGGAAATTTCCAAACATTTCACCGACGACTGTTTCCTCAACTTGGGCCAATACAGAGCTGGCCTCGGATCGAGCTACCAAGCAACACTTTCTGATGTGTAATTGTTCAAGTTCAGACATTTAATCTTTCTCTCAAAATCGTTCAATACTGTTTATGCATCAGTAAGTCAAGCCAGTGACTAAAATATCAGCTTCACATCGTTTCTTTTAGTAGTATGAAAATAATCGTATATAAATTGTGAACAAATTATATACAGAAAGCGATCAAAGAACAATCTTTCCACACAGCGCGAGTTTATCTGGACACTTGCCAAACTCGTTATGAAATCAATGACGCACGTTACTGCACAACGAAGCTCTTACTGTATTTACATCATCGTGTTTGCATTGGTGAAAGCAGAGAGAGTGCAGAAACTGCTTTGCAATGATAAGATCTTCATTCTCGCGATCAACACACTGTCATCTGCTCAATGCTCATCACGGCAACATTTTATGTGATGGGAATAGATCTAAATACTTTAAAAACATCTCACGATTCGTTAATCTCGATAGCTGTTATAGTAAAAACGTATAATAGCAGTAGTAAAAGTATTCGGGAGAGAGTTTCACATGTAATGCGTTGCTATTTCATATGCAAGCATGTCAGCCAATCACAGCAGTGGCCGCGGTTACACTGAATCCCACAGCAGACACGCCCCTTCAAACAGAGTGTTCAAATCAGAGGCTAAAAGCAGGCTAGGAAAAATGCCATTTATTTCTAAATTATGATTATTTTTTATCTAAAAAACATACTAACATTATAAGGGTAACCCAGGAAACATTATAAAATAATAAAAAAAACATTCTAGGGCACCTTTAAGGCCACTCAATGAATGAAATGACTTGAATAAACATTAGTTTATATTAGGGCTGTCAGTTAAACGCGTTGTTAACGCAAACCCATTTTAACGGCGTCAATATTTTTATCGCGCGATTAACGGTCTTTTTGGCCAAGCAAACTTTGTAGTTTTTTTCACATGCTTTTGCAACAGGACGCGGCATGCGCGTGAACCATTCATTTCAATGGCTTTGCGCTGCGCGAGGACGTTTTGTTGCTTCGTCGACCAAAGCGCAAGCGGATCTAGCTAGACCGGAAACAAAACAACAGGCACGACGCCTACACACTTGTTTGGGCCAAATAGTTGGTTAACGTTACATTTTGAGTGGATGACGAGCGCGAGACGCCGAAATGGATGCCAATAAGATTTTGAATATAAAGTTTACTTTTAAAAAGTTGCCAAATGGTTCCATTGAAAAGACCGAAGTGATCTGTGTGTTTTGTTGTTGTGAACTGAGCTATCATCATCGCAGCACGTCCAGTCTGAAATACCACTTGATGGCCAAGCACACACACACACACAGCTGATGCGAATCCTCCGCCCCCTCGTCAATATCAGGACCTCGTCAGTATTTATTTCACCCTTTTATTGATGGACAGTGTTAGATTGTGTGAGAGATTATTTGCTCCAAGTGAGAATGTTAGTGTGAAATTGAACAGTATGCCAATATTGTTTTCAATAAAAAACTTTTGCAAAAAGCAAGCCGATTCACTTTTCCATGTTGATAAGAGCATTAAAATGAGAAAAAAAATAATGGGACAAAAAAAAAATCAAGAGACATTTACAATAGATAAAAATGTGCGATTAATCGCGAATTAACTATGACATTAATGCGATTAATTGCGATTAAATATTTTAATCGTTTGACAGCACTAGTTTATATTTGTATAGATGAACGAGTAAAATGAGCCGATATTTCAATCACTAATTAACATGCACAAACAGATATATTATGCACTAAAGGAAAGGTAAAATGAAAAAAAAAAATCATTATAGGTCCTATTTAATGTGAAGAATATCCCATACGTGTGCTTTTTGTTGGAAGGCTGGTGTTTTTGACATAAGCAAGCAATAAGGTATGAGAGGCTGTGCTGTATTGCGCATAAGTTACGGCTGAAGGACATTGTTAGCAACCCCTTCAGCCGTGACTTATTCACGATTTATTACACGGCTCTGTGGAATACTTGATTCTGATTGGTCAATCGCGCCATCCCATTCCCAGATAACAACCGCTCAAAACAGATAACGTAACGCAGGCTCATCTGGGTTACTGAAGTCAGCAGCGGTGTACTCTTGCTAGGAATGTTTTTTTCTTGGTGGAAATTTTTGCTTTTGGTGAGCTAATAAAATATTAAAACAGTCAGTCGAATTAATATTTTGTGTACAGTTATTTAATTATGCCATCCAGCATCGTGGAATCGCTCTCTCGTTTCATAAAATTGCAGCTGCTGCCATTTTGTGACTTTTGTAATTATAAGATACAAACAGGTATTATTTTAAAATGGTTTAATCTGAAATCAATCTCTTTATCTCCATAATTATTTATGTGGGAAAATACTGTGTAATAAGTGGTATGACTGTATATACCGTATCTCTTAAATGTCCATCTATTTTGAACTTGCCGCGCTGCAACGGAAACTTTGCATTTAAGGACCAATAAAATATTTAGACTCAGATCAATATTTTGGGTCTAATTATTTACTTATGTGGCAAGTAACCGTGTAATAAGTGGGATAATGTACATTCAACCGGTTGTTCTCTCAAAATAAACCCCCTTCAGTCTGATGAAAGATTGTTAAATTGTTAAAATTAGCAATTTTTTATTATTATTTTGTATGTTTCAGCTACTTCAACATTATAATTTAATGTCATAACAAATACCCAATGTGGAAGTAGGATCTTCTGGGCTGCACTTAAAGGGATAGTTCACCCAAAAATGAAAATTAGCCCATGATTTACTCACTGTGAAGCCATCCAAGGTGTATATCACATTCTTCTTTCAGACGAATACAATCGGAGTTATATTAAAAAATGTCCTGACTCTCCATACTTTATAATGGGAATCAATGGGTATATTTTTTTGGAATTTTGGAAAGGTCTTTTGAAGTGAAGCAATTCAAGGGTTACTCTTTTGGTTTAAGTCTACTTGCGTACGGCCGTCTGCCGGAAGCTAGTTATTTTAGTCAAAGTTTTAAATATGGATATTTTTCTTACACGAACGCATTGCTCCACATAAGACCTTTATTAACCCCCTCTAGAGTCGCTTCAAGCACTTTTATCATGGATGGATGGATGCGCTTTGATGGACTTCCCAAAAAATATACCCATTGACTCCCATCAAGAGCCAGGACATTTTTTAATATTACTCTGATTGTATTCGTCTGAAAGAAGAATGTCATGTAGACCTAGGATGGCTTCACGGTGAGTAAATCATGGGCTAATTTCATTTTTGGGTGAACTATCCCTTTAAATGCAGCATTAGTATTTTTCTGGTCATGTGATGGTCCACATGTGGGACCTCTGCTCCGTGTCAAATAAAACCTCTTGCTTGTTCTCCCTCCTCCACCATCATACTGATGGCGTTCCACGCCCCCTAATGCTGATTGGCTACATGTTTGTTGTGGTGCTCGGTACGAAAACGTTTCAACAGCGTTTTTGAAAAATCGATTATTGCACCTTTAATTAGGACACTCATATGACATTCTTCAAAACATTATTATTCATTTCTGTAGTGATGGACCTTTTAATAAAGATCAAATGACTGAGTTCAGCTTTGAGAATGAAACCAACCTGTTTGTTCCTCCGTTTCTTCTTTTTTCACACTGAATACTTCTTCAATCTTCATGTCTTCAGTCTCCTCTTTAATAAACCCCATGTCTTCACTCTCCTCTTTAATAGCCGCCATCTTTATAATAGAGTCTCGTGGATCTCAGTCGCTTCACCAGGAGTTTTTCTGTGTGTTTGTCCTGTTTAAGATGAGAATAATTAACAGAAAGAATTATAAATCCACACTAAGCGTCCCAATCAGCTCTAGTAGTAGGGAGGTTAAGCCCAAAAAATAGGCCTTTGACTTCAAGTCATGATGCAAAGGTCTCCTTTGGTATGGAAGTACCTTAGGGTCATACAAATAAATTTATCCTAAGACACAAGTGAGATCACACTTTGTATCAGAAATAAACATGTTTTTTCAAAAATGGCCGCCAATGCGCCGAAAATACTCTAGAGCCCATATCTTTGCTTCTGTTATCGCTATAATGACAAATTTGGTGTCAAAGTGTACATTCTTGGGGTCAAGGAATCCAATAAAATTGGTTTCAAGTTTAAAAAAATAATAATTTTCCCCATACCATGACAATTGGGGGTAAATATGCACATTTCACATAAAAATTGTCATCAGAGTGACTTTACTTATCTTTTCGTTCAAAAACTTTAATTTTGTATTTAAGCAGTGCAGCTACTTCTGTACATTACATTTGTCCTAAGTAGCATGAGATTTCGACCAGTCAGGAGTAGCCTATAGCATATCAGTTCCTGCAACAACACATCCCATCTGCACCAGGAGCTGTGACAGCTGTTGAAGGTCAGAGGTGACAGGTTAACACTTTGAGGTTCGTATGACTTTCTCATTAAATAATTTTTTTTTTTTAATGTTAGATAACTAATAAATAGCTAGCTAGTTGACTATGGAAAAAAAAACCTTAGAGGGAAAACCTCTTTTCTCGAGAATACTGAAGCCAAAAATTAACCTTATAATTTGTATTAATTTAAAACACACTTGCTGCAGCTAGCAGACCTAGGCGAGGCAGCTCGCGCGCCTATTGGATGCTATGCGGCAACTGCTGCAACCTATCGAGGCACTGCTCGTGACGTAAGCAACAATGAGTGGGCGAATGGGCGTGGCTTATGCCTATATAAGCCAGAGCTCGATAAGATGCTCCTTGGTTTTCATCGACTGAAGCGAAACCAGATGGTAGCACAAGCACGGCAGGGTTACGCAACACTCATTCCCTCTTCTAGAGAGAACCGAGGTTACGTTAGTAACCGTGACGTTCTCTTACGAGAGTACTCTCGTGTTGCGTAAGCTAGCTTACGCTACGGGAATCCAATTTAAAACGCCGTGCGTGCTAAATCTACCACAACACTGACCCAAGGGCGAGCGCCCTGAGTTCATATGATATGGGGATATAAAAAGCCGACATTGGGAATGGGCTTAATAAGAATGATATAAGGTAAACGTGGTTACCTTAAATGCATAGAGGGTGCTTAACACGGTATAACAGTCAGGGGAGGCAATAGCCTGCCTGAACTGAAAACTTTGCAGTCCGCGGAACCGAGTCCGGCAGAACTGAGCGGATAAACTAAACTGACAACAGTCTAGCTTGGAGCGCGGGAACTTCCAGGTTATAGAACCCTATAAATGTAGACAGAGAGGCCCAGCCTGCCGCCATACAGATATCGTGAAGGGAAATCCCACTGGACCAGGCCCATGAAGAGGCATGCCTCTAGTGGAATGAGCTCTGACGCCCAGAGGGCAACGAAGGCTCTTAGATGTATAAGCCAGTGAGATAGCGTCCACTTTCCACCTGGAAAGGCTATGTTTCGAGGCAGCTAGACCTTTAGATCGGCCACCAAACGAAACAAATAGCTGTCCTGACCGTCTGAAAGCAGCCGAACGTTCCAAGGGCCCTAACCAGGCAAAGGAGATTCACGTCAGACTCGCTGTCAGATCCGAAGAGAGAATGTCAGATTGAAGAGGCGGTGGTACCAGTACCAGTCGGTCGCCTTCCAAGGTTTCAGAGCTGCGACGCATTTCTGATTGACCCTGAGGCGAAACAGATCGGAGGCCCAAGCTTGAGACGGCACTCGTGCTTTCAGCCACCACTGCAGTGGGCGCATGCGAAGCAGACCCAGCTGGAGTACTGATGATGATGAGGCCATGAGGCCCAGCATCTTCTGAAATCTCTTGAGCGGGACTATAGTGCCGCAATGTTCAGTATGCGCTCTGGCGATAGTCGCGCTGTCATTGACAGCGAGTTCAGCTCTGTGCCCAGAAAGGATATTTCCTGGCTCTTCGCCCAATTGACTGTGAGACCAAGATTCTCGAGGTGTTCGAGTAATATGGTCCTGTGTTCTATGAGCTCTGAATGAGATCGAGCTAGAATCAGCCAATCGTCCAAATAGTTCAAAGCTGGCATTCCCTGAAGTTTCAGGGGCGCGAGAGCCGCGTCCATGTACATCATAATATACAGGATGCCAGGGACAGGCCGAACGGTAGGACTGTGTATTGATATGCCTGGCCCTCGAAGGTGAATCTCAAAAATCGCCTGTGACGAGAGAATGTCAGACTCGCTGTCAGATCCACAGAGACTTGTGCTCTGAAAGGAGTGGCAAGTACTTTGGGGACATAATCATGTCTTGGTTTGAGGATGACCTCGGAGTCATTAGGCCCAAACTCAAGGCACGACGCACTAACAGAAAGTGCGTGTAAGTCACCCACCAGCTTGACTGAGGCGATAGCCACCAGAAAGGCGGTTTTCAATGAGAGATACTTAAGGTCCACAGACTGTAGAGGTTCGAAAGGGGCACCCTTCATGGCCTCCAGGACCAAGGAAAGGTCCGAGGGGGGGCGAGGAGGGTTCATCCTTCTAGCTCCCCTGAGGAAGCGGACTACAAGGTCGTTCCTACCCAGTGACTGGCCATGCGAATGTTTGACAAACGCAGCAATAGCCGCCACATATACCTTGAGCATGGATGGGGATCTACCCTTATCCAAGAGCTCCTGTAGGAAGGAGAGAACCTCCGACACCCCACAATCTTGTGGATCCAGGTTGCGAGCTGAGCACCAACCTGAGAACACTGACCACTTGGAACCATAAAGCCATCTAGTAGAGGGCGCTCTAGCTTGCGTAATCGTGTTTAACACTCCGTCGGGGAGACTGATGGGTACCCGTTGATGGCCCACACATGCAGAGCCCAAAGCTCGGGTCGTGGGTGCCAAATCGTACCCCCGGCCTGTGAGAGGAGATCTCTCCTCAATGGGACAGGCCACGGAGGCAAGCTCTGAAGCTGCATCAGCTCCAGAAACCAAACTTGGTTCGGCCAGAACGGAGCTACTAGAAGTACACAGGAACCGTTCTCCCTTATAGGCTTGATTACCTGTGGTAACAGCATGATCAGAGGGAAAGCATAGAGAGGGCGGCTGGGCCAGTGATGGGCAGCCCAGCCGCCAGTGATGGGCTGGGCCAGTGATGGGCTGGGCCAGTGATGGGTGCTGAACCCATACAAGGATGCGTTCTGCCAGTGCATGAAGGTTCCGTGATCTCAGACTGCCCTGGCGATTTATGTAGGAAACCACCGACATGTTGTCCGTGCGGACAAGGACATGGTGGCCCTTTAGAAGGGGAAGGAAGAACCGCAAGGCGTTCTCGACCGCCTTCATCTCTAGACAGTTTATGTGCAAGCTCTTTTCTTGGCTTGACCACAGGCCAAAAGTCGGTCTGCCCTCATAGAGGGCGCCCCAGCCCGAATTGGAGGCGTCTGTCGAAACCACTATCAGTTTAGAGATTACTCCCAGGTTTACACCTGTCTGATACCAGTCGACCGCCTTCCAGGGCTCCAGAGCTGTGACACAGTTCTGAGTTACCTTGAGACGTAAACGACCGGATGCCCATGCTCGACGCAGGACCCACGTCTTCAGCCAGTGCTGTAAAGGGCGCATGCGAAGCAGACCTAAACGAAGAAATTATTAAGTTGTGAATGGACTGTGTGTTTGGCATGCGTTTTTTAATAAAAAATTGCATACTTCACCTCCAATTGTCATGTTAAGGACAACATTATTGTTTTTTAGTCTTGGAACCTATTTTATTGGACTCCTTGACCACAAAAATGTACCCGTTGATACCAAATTTGTCATTATAGCTATGACAGAAGCAAAGATATGGGCCTCTCAAGTATGGTCGGCGGCCATTTTTAAAAAATGTGTGTATATAAGATACAAAATGTGATCTCACTTGTGTCTTAGGATAAATTTATTTCTATGGCCCTAAGGTACTTCCATACCAAAGGGGACCTTTGCATCATGACTTGAAGTCAAAAGTCACTTAACCTCCCTACTATAGTTCAATAGTCCTTAAATGATCTGATTAGACAAAAAAAAAAAAAAACACTCAAAACTAGGACTACAATTTCATAAAATAATTTAGGCCACTTAATATTTAGTTATGCTTAACATTAAGGCTCGTACACACCGGGACGAATATCGGCGCGCGTTATTCGCCAGCGTTTTTCAACGCGTTTTTTGTGTTCACACCCAAGCGATTTTCGCTGACGATGAGCCGAGTGGACATGCAAATTCATTCCCTGACATTAGATGGAGCGCATTTGCTCTGCAATACCACTCCATAACAGTTCTCTTTTATCAAGATTTAGATGTAGTCGCTGTCGCGTTTGTCATATAGTTCTTTATGTTCCGACAGCAACGAGACCAGCAGCTCTACATTCATCTGGCCTTGCATCTTCCTCGTCTTATTTCTTCCCGCCAGTGTAGACCATAGATATCCATAATAAAGGCCATATTTGGCCAGCAGCGCGGACGAGACATCTAGCCTTTATTATGGATATCTATGGTAGACGCTACTTGGCGTATATCTTCTTCGCCGTTACGTATGTGTGCTCGGCAAGACCGTTTTGTGTTTGAGCGCCCCCAAGTTGTGTTTTACTGTAACTTCAGAAGCTCCAGACACGTGAGCAAAAGCGCCAATCTCATTGGTCGGATAGTTTTTGACGCGGCGTGTCAAACTAAAAAAACGAACCCGAGGCGTTTTTACGCGTGGCGTTTTTCGCGTCGGTGTGCACACTCACATTGTCACGAGGCGTTA